TAACTTTGGAAATGATCATGTAGACAATGTACTCTGGGCTAGGTGCGTTCCTCTAAGTTTTCTTACCAATATGACCATGTTGCGAAAACAAGGTCAAACAACCTCTATCTTGGAAAGGTAAAGTTTTGACCTCTTTCCACTAGGAGCGTAACACTAGCAACTATAGGCATACTGGATAAATTGATCACTTTATTTTTGCTAGAGCAATTGCCACTAAGTTTAGCTATCTGCTTTTTGCTTCGACGATTCCTCGAGCTGATGTTACCGCCTAGATCCCTGAATTTCTTATCATGTCGGATCCGTGGATCACCTTTCCAAATATACAAAATCATTCTATGCGGATACTGATTGAGTTAACCAACTTAACAGAGGTTAAAAATAGTATAGAAAGAGAAGTGATCCCTCATTTTGATCAAGTAATTATTTCAAAGAAATCTTATGATTTGCATAAGGTTTATAGATATTTGCACCCAAATTATGTCTGATTTGAATGCAGATAAACAGGGTGCAGTGGTCATCATAGATAGGTTAAATTATATATAAAAAATAAAGGTTCATGTAGATGAATAAGAAACATACAGACTTTTAGTGAAGGATCCTACAGACAGTCTTAAGGCCAGACTTAGGGAATCGCTTAATGTTTGTGTGAGCAAAGAAGACATTAAGAAGTGGAAAATGAATTCACTTCTTCAATGGTATGCTAGGGCACCTTACTGAAAAGTTTTATAAATGGGTGCAAAGCCTTGCAATGGGATCTTGTTTTGCTGCCACATGTCATGAATGGAGGAACACTTCATGGAAGAGGTAAGATTGACACCAAGACTGTTAGTTAGATATACGGAATGACTACTTGGCTATATGACAGCATGGCGACAGCAGACGGATCGTACGGGGCAAAAGGAGGGCTGCAGAACAGTGTGACCGACTTTGATTAACATTCCCAGCACAAGGGTGAAGGGTTGAGGGGAGAGTTCTCATGAAATCCGCTCAGAAGGTCACGCCACACACATTTAAATAAGCAAGTAAAAATTGTGATAGTGAAGGTGTGATATAGGATTGGCGATTAACCCAGGGCGGAAGGAGAGATACCACGACTGCTTCATTTTTCTTTTCGAAATGTTGTAGTTTGGTGCTAAGACTGGCAGTTCTGACTGAAGCTGCCGACTACGATGCCATAGAAACGTCTGGGAATGTACCACGTCCACGGTACGACTGGAAATTATCATGCACACAATGAACTCTGGACTAGGTGCTTTCCTCTAGGTCTTCCTACCAATATGACCAAGTTGCGGAACAAGGTCAAGCAACTTCTATGCTAAGGATAGTTTAAATATTTTTTGTTTCTTAATTAGGCAGGTTGACTGCAATGTTAAGTTGACAATGGAGCTAAAGAATGACAAGAATTTACCTTTTTTAGATGTTATATATATTTATATATATACGTGAATGCTTGACGAACTTACGTATCGCACGCCTTAGCGACAATTATAAGACCAGGAAGGCATTCATAAACGAAACCTCAGAAAAAATTATCAAAAAATGAGTTTGGTATGTATACAGTCGTAACTGCAAGGTAACCTCATTTTGGGTTTAGAAACAGACATAAGTCTGACCATAAGAGCTGTATTCACCCTAGGTCGCATAAGCAGATGAGGGATTGACGGTCGAATATTCACACAACCAGGCGACTGGGCCTCCAATTTTCTATTGAATTTCACTTGTCCTTACTTCCCAAATGGTATTTTTATCACGTCTGGACTGGACGGAAGTTGCGACCTCGTCTTGGCTCAGCACTCCCGACGGGAATCGAGTCCGGATAGTACAGTTTACAATTTCGACACTCCACATTGACACAGATGCCAGTGGATCAAAGGGAAGAGGTCAATTTTCTGACTAGCTAGGCCTCGATCATATCACATTTCGAAGTGGGCTCGTTGAGAAGCTGGTTTTTATTTTATTTCACAATCAATTACATTATTTATTTTCTTAGCGATTAGCTTCCGAAACCACCATTGTGATACCTACTTTATGCTTATGGGGAAATTCGACTATCAGTCCTTTTTCACCCTATGCAACCAAGGGTAAATACAGTTCTTATTCAAGATCTACTGGCAACCTTGAAACTTACTCAATACGAATAAGAGGTCAATGCCACACAATTATCAGAGGACAATTAGATTCATTAAGGTTTTGGCGAGGTCGAAAATACAGACTAGCCCGAATAAGTAAGCATTTGTCGAATAGAAAGTGGTTTGCAATTCACTGAACAGTTGCAGCTTTGCCTTCGATTCACTGCGACTAGATCTTATGCCAGTCCGCAGAACCAAAAAAACATTCCTTGTATGCCTAAGCTCTTGGCTAGTATATACTCATGACTTCGACATCAATTCTCTGTTCGTCTAGAAGGGAAGAGTTTGTTAAGTTGGACCGTCCATTGGGTTAAGAATAATGCCGATTCTAACTGTCAATTTGGCATAGGGGGATTATAATAGTAAATGAATGCCTGTGAAAAGACGAACTTGCGACTTCTCTTCTTTCAAGAATGCATAATCGCAATATTTGACATTTTTGCCTCTATCAGACAGGATTATTTCAATGCACAAACCTGATCCCTAGCATACTGCTTTTATTAAATAAGAGCTGTATTCACCTTATTTCTTATCAGGTGATGGACTGGCGGTTGAATTTTTCTCACAATGCCATGAGTAGGCCCTACATTTCCATTGAATTTTACATAACCTTGCTTCCAAAAAGGTATTTTCATCCTTAGTGGATTGCAGTTTCGACCTCGCATAGGTCTTATCAGCTCTTCCAGCGGGAGCAGCGTATAATCTCGACACGTTGCCCACTACGCCACACTGTCACGAACTCTTTTGGGTCACAGGGCAAATGTAAATTTCAAGCAAGGCCAGGCGTTTTTCTATATCATATTTTGTGGTTTGACTGTTGATGAATCAAAGTTTTGTTTGCTATAGCAATTGCGACTCGATTAGTTATTTCTCATTTCATGAGTAGGTTTTTCGAGACTACCAGTAGGTCTGATATAAGAGCTGTATTCGCTCTTATTCGTTTAGGCTGATGAAGTACTTGCGAAACGAAGAATAAATACTGTAGTCGATTGCTATAGCAATTTCAACTTTGCTTCATCGACAATCCCACCACGGGATGTGATATGGGAAAATGCCCGGCTTTATTTGAAATTCACATCTGCTCTGTGACCCAAAAGCACTCGTGGCAGTGGCGTAGTGGTGAATGTTTTGAGATTATAGGCTGTACCACAAAGGTTCGAGTCCCGCTGATGATGCTAATGACATAGGCGAGGTCGAAACTACTATGCGAAATTCATTGTAAATGTAAGGACTGCCTATACCAGTGCTTCACAGCCTTAAATGAATTAGGGTGAATACAGCTCTTATATCACATCTACTTCTAGTCTCGAAGAGCATATTTATGAAACGAGAAATGCTTTTATGACACACAATATGTCAACCTGACCAATCTACTCCTATTCTATGGGTGTATTTTCCACACCGACCTCAATTTCATGTGCCAGTTGAATTAGATCCCCTCAGAGGAGCACTCTCGGGGTCACAGTAGGTCAGATCTCAAAGTGTTGGACATAATATTGGGTCTGTGTCGAAAGTCATCTACTCAGTCTTAGTGAGTAGTCTGTAACTCTCCTGAAAATGTCATCTCACTTTGATTTATGTTAACTCTAAAGGTTTAATCGGGGTGCTCTGCTAAACGTTGGCTTCCTGGAGGCGATACGCTCTCAGATAGCCTTGGCTGAACTAGGCTCGTCTGGATGGGACAAAACTGTGCGGTCTGCCGACTACCTCGCTCTTCACGATGTTGATCTGCTACCTGCTGACCCTCAGCTCAACTACTCATGGCCACTTATCACTCCTAATGACGGCGAAGCTGGTCACGGTGGTTGGGGCAGCCCGCTCCACTTGATTCCTCACTACCTTCACCCGCGGTATCACTTCTATCGTCATTATCTGGGCGGCGTTCTTCTCATTACAACGGATCAGTTTATCCAGGTCAACGGGATGTCTGATCGCTTCTGGGGATGGGGCCGCGAAGACGATGAGTTGCGCCTGCGTATCCTCAAAGCTAATCTGAAGGTAATTCACTCCTAGAAACTATGTATTAACTATTTTTTATTTGCGACAACAATCGAAACAATAGGCTTTATGTATTTTATTGGAAAGCTGGGCCTCTCAATTATCATGCATTATTACTATTCGCTTAGTCTTATAAATACAGTGTAAATGGATTTTTAATTTATCCCCACCAGAGCTGTAAGTTAGGCTGTCGTCATGTTTCCATCATGTATATGAAGACATGTGAATGTACCTGGCCAACGGTCCGATGCTGTAGCAGCAATGGCAGGATGGTGTACGTTTCTAGAATAGCGCTGCGGAAACTAGGTCACACGAAATCTGCTTAGTCCGGTTATGTTATCGCCTGCCAGCCGCCTTTGCAAAATAAGGTATTATATATGTAATATAATATAATACAATACAATACAATACAATACAATATAATATAATATAATATAATATAATATAATATAATATAATATAATATAATAT